TCCAGTGATAAAGTAATATATATCTATATCCATTAAATGAGTTGTGCTGCAGAAAGAAGTCATTCAATTACCTTGTAGCAAGATAATATGTTGCAATCCTAATAAAATAGTAGGGATTACTTGCCAACTTGGAAAAAACACAAAATAAGCAATGATGGGTTATGGCTACTGTTTTGAAATACATTAGCTTAATACTTATACCAGGATGTCATTCAGATGGATTCTAGGCCTGATTCCTTACTCAACAAACACCCCAAGCTGAACCCATGACTTGTACCACAAACATATAAACTGCCTCTGAACTTGGCACTAAACCCACCATTCTAATCCAGTCAGTTCTGGTTTTATTTCAAAAAAACAGAATTGGATTTATCCATCTCTTTGAAAAGATTTATAGCATGAACATAACAAAATAATTAGCATACATCACTGTTGTGGCATGTTACTGGAGAGACGATCCATTAATCACTTCTCCTATTAAAACCATCACCTTCCCTGATCCTGAACACTAATCACCAAATTAAGAGGGATGGCTAATATCTCAGAGGACAGGCTTAGAATTCAAAATGACCTGAACAGATTACAAAGCTGGACCAAAGCAACAAAATGGATTTCAAAAGGAGAAATGTAAGATGCTACACCTAGGCAGGAAAAAATCGATTACAATACATCTGAAAGAAATCTAGGAGTCTTGGTAGACCACAAGCTGAATAACAAAAAAGCAAAGCAATTCTTGACTGCATCAATAGGGGTATAATGTCTATGTCAAGGGAAGCAACAATACCATTTTATTCTAATTTGTCAGACTTCACCTAAATACTGTGTCAGGTTCTGGGCACCACAATTCAAAAATGATATTGACAAGTTGATATGTGTCCAAAGAAGGTTCACCCCCTGCCCAAGTTTTAAAAATGGGTTTATTCATACATTTTAAATGGTTAACCAAATCCACTGCCACTTGCAGAGTCTTCCCACCAGTCTGTGGGGCCTCCCTGCTGCCTGCAAAGCCATCTGTCAAATTTTAAAATGCAATGCAGCCCCTGTGTCCAAAAGTTTCTTGTAGTTCCTTGAGAAACCTTTCCTTCAAAAAGGGCTTTGTGGCTTTAAAAGTTTGAGAACCCCTTATTTAATCCATGCCCTGCCAAAGAAACTATGGAACAGAAGCAAAGACAAGAAGTGGTGTCATTGTTAGACCTTGGACTTTATATGAACAAGATTGTTTCTGATGACCAAGTGAAGGCTCAATTAGTAAAACATCCACAGACTCCATTGTCAGGATATGTATGTCCTGTGGTTAAGAAGAGGCATCTAAGTTTTCAACTAAAATGGTTCAACAGATTTCCCTGGTTAGCCAATTCATTTCATGTACAAGGTGCACTCTGTAATTACTGTATGGTGTTTGAAAGAGACATTGGGGGTAAAGGTGGTAATCAGAAGCTTGATGTATTGGTTGCTAAACCATTTGTGTGATGGAAAGATTCAATACAAATCTTCAATGGATACCAAAAAACAGAATCCAATCAGAACAACTTGTGCTTGGCTGAAAACTTCTTGCTAATTCACAGTGGAAAAAAATCTTGATGTAACCCATCAGCATGATAAAGAAAATAAGAAAAAAGCAAAAGAAAACAGAATGGAACTTCTGCAATTTGTGGAAACTATTGTTCTTTGTGGCCACCAAGAACTGGCGTTAAGAGGGAGGAATGATTCAGGACCTATTACTTGTAAAGATCCTTTGCACAATTATGACAATTTCAGGGGCTTGTTGAGATTTTGTGCCAGATCAGGAGACAATGGCCTGAAAAGTCATCTTGAAACTGCAGCTATGAACACCCAGTATACTAGTTACATTTGTGGTAACAAGATAGTAAAAAATGTTGAAAGATGCAATGCATCATGGTGTTTCTCTGTTTTGGGAGAGGAAACTTTGGATGTGGGTACCTCAGAACAGTTATCGCTCCACAGTAAGGTATGCTGATGTTGAAGCTGCAAGAATAAGGGAAGACTTTATAGGCTTTGTGAAGATAAGCAATATGACAGGAGGAAGATTTACAGACTTTATTTTGAAAACACTGGAAAAATTGGACTGAACTTGCAATACTTCTGTGGACAGGTTTATGATGAAGCTACTAATATTAGTGGTCATACTAGTGGTGCACAGGAAATTATATTGAAGAACTATCCAATGGCTGTCTACATCCACTGCAGTGCTCACCCATTAAATCTAGCCTAAGCAAAGACTTGCAGCATTCCACCTGTCAAAAACAACCAAGGAACAATGTTACATATGTGCAATTGCTTCAGCACATCATCCATCAGACTGGAACTATTGAAGAAAAATAGAAAGGCTGTCACCGTGAATCAAGAGCAAACATGATGCAGTTTTACATTTTGTTGAACTATACAGTGTGATGGTGAGAACATCTGAAGAACTAAAAGAGAGTCCTCTATACAATAGTAAGACTTCTTCCAAAGCTGGACACCTTTTAGCTGTTCTGAATGCTGAATTTACAGCAACCATACACATCCTAAGAAAGCTTCTGTCATCATCCCTTCAGCTTAGCACAACATTACAAAGAGTAGATATAAACATTATCTCTAGTTTGCAACATGTTGACAGTCTCTTAGAAAAAGCCAGGGAGATGCAGACAGAATCTGTGAAAGAATTTCAGGAGATCTTTGACACAGCAAAATCAGTGGTGGAGTCTATGGGTGGAGAAGTTAGGATTCCTCGCATCTGTTCAAGCAAAATTGTGAAAGCAACATCCAGGCAACTTCACCAACACCAATGGAATATTATAAGCTAGATGTATACATCTGGACTTTTTCTGCAGTCATCTTCAAGAAAGGTTTACAAGGCACAGGTGAGTAATTCAGGAACTGCAAGTGTTCCTCCCTATTAATTGTGACCATTTAAAATCAAACTTGAACAAGTGCAGAGAACTTTACAATGAATGCCTTCAAGATACTGACACACCAATGGAAGGGTTTGACCTGTGGTGTAGAAAATGCAAGGGAAGCATATCTTGTCTGTGATAAATGTTTTTTTTCCAAATGTGAAGTTTCTGCAACATTGCCAGTGTTAACAGCAACAAATGAATTGTCGTTTTCAACTCTTAAATGTTTGAAAACATACATAAGAAGCACAATGGGGCAAGAAAGATTGATTGGACTTACACTCTTGAGTGTCCACCAAAGTTTATTGATGGAGCTTGGTTCTGTAAAAGTGTATTGACACAATTTTCAAGTGTTTCCAACTGTTGCACTCCAGGACGGAAAAGCCTTCTGACTTTAAAACACACCACATGTTGAGTGAAGAAAACAATCCTTTTTATTGAAGCATCGTAAAACAGTCAGTAGAAAGAAATGCTTGTAAGAAAATAGGAAAGCTCCAAAAAGTAAAAGGTCAATAAAATGCAATAACTCAAAGCAATGTCCACAAAAGATATAAAAGCATTCCAAGGCAGTATTTATCCAGATAAGAATCCACAGGATGCAAAGACAATCCAGATGCTGCTAGTTAACACGAAAAGGCTAGAAGTATCCACAAGAACAAGACCACCTAAACAGGATTTCCATGGCACATGAGCTTCATTTCCAAACAATGCCTGATCTAACAGGTTTTCCCTTGAAGCAAACCTTATATCGCAAAACCCAGAAACTGGTTTCATTTTCCTCCACCCTTGGCTCTTATCCGATGAAGTCTTTTGGAGCGACATAATCCTTGAGTTTGATGTCGGTCCTGGCTGAACTCCAGCCGCCTATTTTTCAACTCCCTTTCTGGCTGCTCATTAAAATTTCCAGGTGTCAGATTGTTTTCCAAACCCAAATCTTGAGAGCTCACAGAGAGAGGGAGTAAGCCATTATCCCTATGCCCAGCAGGAATATTCTCATGAGAAACTGCCCTTTGCACTGGGGCCTCTCTGTCATTGTCTGCATGAAAATCATTGATCAAACCATCTCCATCTTGCACCTCAGCCTCGGCACCATCATTTCCCTCATCATTTCTCACAGCATTGCCCACATCATTGCCCACATCATAAGCATCATGATCATGGAACACAAACACAGGCTGATTCCCAACACTAACAGGCATTGTGGTATTCTTTTGTAACCACTAGATAACCAATTAAGAGTCATTTTCATTTTTTTTAGACTTGAAACTTTGTAGCTAAAATAGATATTTGATTTAATTAAGTCTATATAAAATATAGAATGAGTCATAGAATTTAAATTATCTTGTGTTATGGACCTACTCTTCATAATTTGCTTAAAAAATCAAAACGGTTTCAACCCCCCTCCCCAAAATATTTTCTGGCTATGGGTCTGGTCCAGCATGTATATGACCCAAAGTGTTACATCCTACAGCGAAGACTAATAACATGGTTGAATGACATCCAGACTGACTTACTAAAGCCTTTAAGAACTATTACTGCTTTGGCACTGGAGTTTTGTGAGAATCATCCTCTTCAAAATCAAATTGTAGAAATGGACTATATTTTGGAAAGCATGAATTTGAAGTGAGCTCCTGACTAATCTCTCCCTTAAGCAGCCTCAGAGGCCAATTCATCATGCTAATTACTAGCAGCACCTGTTTTTAGCCTGTTTACTGGTTATAAACAAAAAGAGCTACTATTGTGGTTGGTTGTTTCTTCTCCCAAACATAAGTGTTTGAATAGTTTACCATTAGAAGCTGAGCTATCAGGAATACCCAGGGTCCATAGTTTTTTTATGTCAGACTAATGTGAAGATATATTCATATGCAATAAAGTTGATACTGTTTCACAGCTAATTCAGTATTTATAAAGGAAGGTAAACACGGGTGCAACTGAGTTACAAGTAATATAAAAGCAGAGGCGTTCTTTCCTCTGTTTGCTTCCTGCTGTGAACACAAAACATCTACAGATCCATCAAACAGTTCTGATTGTCTCATGTAGCACATTATTAACCAAAATGCATTACGTAGTAACTTACTATACAGTACATTCTGTGAATTTTACCTGTCTTTGATGAAGGTCCTCTCATGATTTCTAAAGAACAGGGTTTTTTTGTGACTGCTATATCCAACAGTTCAGAGAGATCATTCTCATTTTCTACAGGAAATGCATCAGAAGAAACAGATGGCACTGCTTCCAGTGTATAACTCCTTTTCTTTGGAAATGGCTCCTGAAAAAAAGAAATACAGTCATGCAATTAAGCTGGGCAGCAAAAAGGAATACTGTAATAAAGTTTTAATATTCTCTTTAGATTTGCGACGGAACCCACCGGCTCCCAGTCCATGACATACATCTACTTCCAGCAGGGCTCCTTTGCAAAAGAGAAGAGGAACCTAAATATGCCATTGCTGTGGCAACACGAGAAGCTTCCCATGTTGCATTGGGATCAATGGGGGAGGCCAGGTGGCAAACGCTTCACCTTGTGGGATAGGGCCTGGGGTAAGATGGGCGATGCAGAGCATGGAGCAACAGATTTCCCATGCCTTCCATCAGGCACTGCCGGATTTGTCACAATCTGTGACAATTCCAGCAGGACATATGATGAGGTCACTAGCTACATGAGACATGTGCATCTCCTGGAGCAGGATCTTAGCCAAGGTATTTTTGTACATTGAAACAGAATTAAGTGTATTCCCCATAGTGGAGGGGCACACTGAACAAAAAAACAGAACAAATCTTTTCCTCTCATGTTAGCACTGGAATCCAACTTGAGGAACAGAACCTGACTCCATCCTTACTCCCCACATTTGATTATCAAAAGTATATCATGGTTTTCTGACAAAAAGTGGCAGTCAAGGTACCAAAATGCTCTAGAAATCAAATAAGAATAAATACGACTAAAAGATAAAACATATTAAAAATAAATCAAAACACATCAATAAACAGACACAACAATTACCTACTGAGAAAAGAAAAGAAAAGAAAAGAAAAGAAAAGTGTGTGTGTGTGTGTGTGTGTGGGGGTGCTACCTGTCAGCAAGAGAACAAGAAAAATGGATCAAGTGCTGCCTCTCATGGAAAAAATGTTTGAAGCATGGGAGCAGCCCCCAAGCAACATTACCACCAAAAAGTTTCTGTTACTTAAAAAACCTGAGCTGAAGTGCAGCCTTGGACAAAGCTGATACTTCTAATATAGCACAACATGTTCTTCCTTTTCATCTTCTCCAATCCAAAGTATATTGCAGGAAGAATAATCTGAGCTGAGGACACTGAGCTTTATTCTGGCACCACATTATCAACAATGTTTGTAAAGGAGTTAGCAAGTTAGACAGAATTCACTCTTTTTGAAATAATTATTATACATCTTAAAACCTTGTTGAAAGGGGTTCATGAGACATTGGTTACAACATAATTTATTGGTTTAAATGCAAAAAAATCTGCAATTATTCTTGTTCATCGAAGATAAAGGTGTTTAAAGCAGATAATTTGTGGTTTGACAAGGAAAAGAAAGTGAAAATTAGTAGCTGCCTACCCAAATCACAGAAAATTGCGGACAAAAGGACACTCGTTTTCAGATAACTCTCACTACCTTATTTTCCTGTTAGATTGCTAGTGAATACACCTTTTTAATCATTTCATATTAATTATTTTTCCTTCCTTTGATTCTAATCATAGCATCATTTATTCATTTTGGTAGGGAACAGAGGCAAGAGCCAATCAATATGATGGCTAAATACAAAACGAATGCTCCTTTTCAGTTGTCAGATTCCACTTGAGCAATTCTTTCCAACATATCCTTTGTTTGCAATCTGGCAAGCTTGCTTAAGTGGGATGGATGCCACAGTATGGTCCTCTAAATTTATTAAATTAGACTATTATATTGGCAAAGAAGAATATCACTATAAGACAGAAAGATTATACTATGAATTCTTGAGTTCAAAGTAGAATTTCTAAGTGTTAGGTCAACTGGGGGTTTGGTAGTCTAAAGAAAATACCACCCACACATTCAAACAGCTACTGAGCCACTGAAAAGAGCAACATGTATTCTATCCTGATGGAGCCAGCAGGCACTGATTGATTATACCCTGTTGAAGCCTGAGGTAAAATCAGCATAGTGAATGAGAACTGGGATTTATTTTAGTGCTTCCCTCTGTTGATGTTACTTTTCAAAGGAATAAAGCTAAGCACTTTCATTTTTGGTAAAGCTTTTAGCCTATTTAGGAGTTTAAAATTCCTGACACACATAGTGAGACACATTTCTCTCAGCCCAAGCCTAACTCAAATTTATACATTATGGAGAGGAGTCTGAAATGTTCCTTCCATTTTGCACTCTTGAGATCTCATCTAGATGCACAGCTTCCTATCTATTTAAGGGCTAACTCTGAAAAAGGATGTGACCATGCCAAAATAGTACTAGTCCAGTGATGGTCAAGACTCAGTATGGAGCATTCTGCTAGTCTACTTTCAGGACATTGTTATGAACAATGGTGGTTTCCAATTTTTCTATTATCATCCGGGGAGTGAAATTAAACTAGGTATCCACAGTTATTTTCAATATACTCATAAATTACTTGGAATTAGGGCTCTTTGGCTCTTGTATCAGAAGGAAAGTTTACTGTTGTGAGCTGTACTTTTCTCATTTTTATTATGTTTAGAAAGTATATTAAACTGTTTAACTTTGTGTTATTAAAATAATTGGTCTTTGGGATTTTAAAAAAACTTTGATATTTTTAGAGGTTTTTAAGCTATGCATACTTCATTTTAATTTGTCGTAAGCCAGTTTGACTCCTGTACTAGATGGATTTTAACTGTATTTTTAAGTTCTGTTTGTGTTTAATTCTGTTTTAATGTTTACATATTTATATACTTTAAATTGTATGCTAATGCTTTTATGTCAAGCTGTTTGGAGTCTCCCTTGGGAAAGATAAAGCAGGGTATAAATAAATATAATAATAATAATAATAATAATAATAATAATAATAATAATAATAATAAAGAGGTAAAAGGACAGATAGGTTTGAAAACTAGAAAAGCTTTAAAAAGTGCCAATGTAAAAATCCCTGGTTATATTTCATAGTGGTAATATAAGTTGTGAAGTCTGACAGGTTCTTGGCAAATGTTAATACCTATTTTTGTTACATTCCATGAAAATTGATAATTTCAGTACTGATATTGTGAATCATTTATATTTCAAGGGTACATAGAATATATTAATGTAACATATACTGTATTTCTTCAATTGTAAGATGCCGTCAATTGTACAATGCACCCTAATTTCAGTACCACCACCAAGAACAAAAATATGCAAGATATACCTGTGATGTTTATATAGGGAAAAAGTGTGTCTTGAAGAAATACAGTAATATGAAATAGATGTTAGTACCAGGCAAAACATAGGCACCAACTTTTGATGTGTCAGGAGCTTTGGAAAATTTCTCCTTCCCTCTCCAAATCCTCTCTCCCCTCATCAAAGCTCATGACATGTTATTTTGACACACCAGAAGCTTACTCTGAGGGGCCAGGGGACACAGCCAGATCCCGCTGGTAAGTTTACCGGGGAAATGAGGGTCTAGGACGGGTGGCATCCTGTTTCTTTGGACTCTTAGAGCCGAAATGGCAATGGAGATTGGCCCCTAGGATTGTGAAAGGTGGTCCCAGAGTCAATCCCCATAGGTCCAACACCTGAAAAGATCCAGGCCTCGCAGTAAGTTCTGGATCTTTTCAGACTTTTTAAAAACAAAATTCAGAGTAAAATGGGAAATCCTGGTTTACTCTGGAGTAATCAGGATTAACCTGAGGTGTCACCTGGATGCCTTAAGTTTAATCTGAAATCCATCACAAATTTTGAGCCTGCCTGGAAGGGCCCATAGAACAATATTTTTTTAAAAAGTAATCAACTTTTCCTCGAAATTCGTTTTCCTTCTTCTTGCAGTTATACTACATCTATTACATTTTCTAAAATGAACCAATTTTTTACCCTATGACAAAAAAAAAACTGGCTTAGGCTCTTAAACGCAACTAGCTTTGTGTGTGTGTGTGGCTGATGTTAAAACAGTTCTAATTAGGGTATAATTCTATTATTCTGCAGAAAATAAAGCTCTAGCCTAGAGAATGCTTTGCCAGAGTGAAAAACTCACAATTATGCTCTGGAGGAAAATGCTTCTATAAATAGCTAATATAACAGTCTTTCATTGTGAATAGTTTGCTGCAGTTAGTGGTCATGTGTACAAATGCATGTTCCAAGAAGGTTGCAAGGACTGGATCTAAACCCATGTTAGGAACAAGTTATTCATTAATTTAGGATGGTCTTGTTTACAAAACGATTTGGTAAACAAAACCTTTCACAGAAATTATTTCCACCTTATTTACAGATAGATTTGAGCTTTGAAAAGCATTTGTAGAACAACACCCACAAGGAATGTGTGCACCTTGATTAAAAGGAGAGCGGGAATAGCACTTTTAAACTGAAAAGGTTTGAGGAAGTGACCCAGAGGCAACATGATCAACAACCCTATTTTAGATGTGCAACTGCTATAAAGAACTTCTTTGCCTAATTTGGTAATCACTGATTTATTTAATCAAATTATGGCTGAAAATTGTTATATGAAATTTCTATGAAGAGAGAAATAACCACCACATCAAAAGTTGTCATAATTCCTCTCTTCCAAAAATCTATGTTAACACCAAAATATGCTCATTTAATCTTTAGGAGGGGTCTACTCTGAGGTGAAAAATAAAATGGATAGGAAAATATCCTTATTATGGTTATGAGGTATCAGAATGCCTGCAGAAAGTTCAATCTATGTTTCTCTCAGGCCTCTTCTACACAGCTGCATAAAGCCCAAATTACCTGCTTTGAATTGGATTGCATGCAGTGTAGACTCAGGTAATCAAGTTCAAAGCAAATAATGCGGATTATGTGGCCTCAGTCTCAAGTTAGGGACATAAATCTCAGGCCCCATCTACACTGTCATTATAATGCAGATTGAACTGCATTATACGGTCATATAATCCTGTTCAATTGCATTATGTGACTCTACACCAGGAGTCCTCAGCCTTTTAAAGCAGTGGGCCAGTTCACGGTCCCTCAGACTGCTGGACTATAGTTTGAAAAAAAACCCAATTTTTTTTGTTTTGTTTTGTTTTTTCTCTTTTTCTTCGATCTTTTTCGTTCTTTTTTTCTTTTTTGTTTTGGTTTGGTTTTCTTTTCTTTTTTTACTCTTCCTAGATT